ATATCTCCCACTTTGGACGCACAACACGACAAATCTCTGAGCGTCAAACTCGTGATCGAAACTCAATTATCTCCGCAACCGGTTTCGTTCACTTGCAATGTGGACACGAGTGTCGAACACATCATATGTCATGTGATTTGCACTCTCGTTGAAGACGCCTCTAATGTGAGTTGATTTCCAATTTTGTTATCTCTTTCGCTGAAAACAATATTGGATTTTAGGTAAAAATGGACGACTATTTGCTGAAAGTTTACGGTTTGACCGAATACTTGGCTTCGGACTCGGTTTTGGCGAATTACTCATATGTCCATCAGTGCCATAAGTTTGATAACGACGTCCACTTGAGTTTAGCCCAAGTAAAAGACTTGAAGCGACCCTTTGCTCGCACTCTCAGAGACGACAACAACATTGACTTTACTGTCGATGAGATTATCCCGAAATCAATTGTCTGCAAGTTTGGAGAACTCAGTTCTGAAACCATTAATATTCTTCTCGAAAGTTTCGATCGAGAGATCTCTAAACTGAGAGCCGACGCCAGAAGTAATTATCGATATCTGTTTTTTATGTGATTTGTTTTTAATGTATTAATTATATGTTTAGTGTCAGGCAGTGGACAATTGCAACCGCAGTCTATCATCCAAACGGTGAAAGCCCTTTGCGCCCATTTATCCACATTAGAAACCACTGCCATCACTGAATCGGCCACTAATTTCTCACAACTGTGTAACGCATTCGGAACTTACAAACGCGACTCAATCACTGCCATCGACGACAACGCAAGCGATGTTAAAATGAAATCTATTCCCGATTTGGACTCAAAATTGTGGGAAATATTAGATCACGCGTTACTTAAACTGAGAGCTTCGTTAATACAACTCATTCGCCTCTATTCGCAAACATTTCCCGTAGAGTTTGATATTAGCGATGATCTGTTGCACAACGACAAGAGAAAGGTTCGCAAAGATATCTCGTCTTCGATGGACACACTTCTGTGTCAGGTCGGCGTCTGCTGTCAATTACAACCCGAATGGTTGACCACTTTTAAGGAGTTTAAAGTGAGAAAACATACAACAAATAGATATCTA